TCATGATTTGACCACTATCTTGTTTCATTCCTTCCACTCTTTTTATTCTTCATTCTAAAATTTGCAGACTTCATAAGTTCCCTGAGTATGACATGTTGTTTTGGTCTTCAGACCCTAGAACATGCTATTTCTTCTGCCTGAAAGTTATTATACCAGGCCTCAATTTTCAATCCAGTTCAGCTGAATAAATTTATTGGCCTCACACTAATTCCTTGAGGGACTAGTGCTTTTTTATCTTTGTGTCACCAGCATCTAGCACAGGGTCTGATAGTAAAATACTATATATATGAGATATGTATTTGTCAATCTAGCCTAAATGTAATGAAACCTTTAGGTAGACTCAGTTGTAAATTATTGACAGGAAGAAATATTAAAAGCAAAAGATAGTCATTCCTTTTCTATTTTAGTGTTAAATTTAACCGAATTCTATTTTCATAGTTTTTAATGCCAACATTGAATGATGGTCAGTATTTTTATTCTGTTTCAATTCCAGTACATTTCATTTCCCTCAGTCACCCTCCCCATAGTACTACTGAAAGTGATACACCTGATGGGAAGAGTGTTATTATCTCAGGGACACAATTTATAAAGTTTTCATTAGATTAAAAAATAAGTATAAGAAGCAAAATGTCTCAAAAGTCCCTACTTCACATTCGGGTGAGTTTTGAGAAAATTATACTTAACCTATGCCACACATCCCAGGGAATAAACTGATAGGATTTTAATAAAATATCAAAACAAAGTATTCACCTTATTCACACAAATAGTTTAATAGTCATATAATAAACTTATAAGATTTTAATAAAATATCAAAACAAAGCATTCAGCTTACTCACACAAACATCTTAGTTTAATAGTCATATGAAACAAAGATATATAAACATTTGACAATAAGAATCGTTTTTCCCAGGACAGCACAATTATTTGCTACACAATTATAAACAGACATAAGAAGCTCTTTTAAGCGTTAGATACCAGAGTGAGGATATTTCTTAAGGCTTGTAAAAATTCTAGTTTTACAGCTTCCCTGGAGTTCCAACATCTCTTGAGAAGGAAACAACATAAGCTCTCATGTTCTCAACCGAGCTGTCCCCAACCAATAAAAATAGATCCTAGGAACATCCCTTAATCTGGTGACATCATCCATAAAAGACAGGAATGGGGTGTCAAAAATCCCCCTTTCTATTTTCTGTTGTCCTCTTGGGGTAAGGAAATGTAAAAAGTCAGTGGGGACTTATGAAGGAAACAGTATAATGAAAGAGAAGAGTTTGATACAAGAAGCACCTCTCAATTAAATTCCATTTTTTTCACACTGGCCCTTGAACTTCTATTTTACCATTTCCTGTTTTTAATAAATCTCCCTATACTTTCACACCTATTGAATTCCATGCTTTTATTACTTAACAAGCATCCCAGCAAAGAAAGAATGAACATTTCTTTTAAACAAGTATTTTTACTTAAAGCAAAGTTCTGGTCACTCACCAATGGTGATGGAAAACTGACCAATTTCCTTCCTGTTTCTTGACTTTCCTAGCCCTGACCTGGGGCTTTGGCTCATATAAAGGTGCAGGATTAGAAAAGCACAGTTTGTTCAAAGTTGTGAGCTCCTCTCTAAGTCATATCCAGGTTTTGGATGCCAAATCATGTTTACGAGGCACCTGAGCAAATACTTTGGCTGCCAGTAATCTTTTCTATTTCTAAAATTAAGCTTCAAAATATAGGGGTTTGCTTTTTAAGTAAATTATCCATTATGTAGAAAGAGTATGCTAGTGAAAGGTTGTATATAAGATCTCAAAACATTGCACTTGCTTTGTTCTTGTTTTGAAATTTCCTATTGTGTCACTTTGTTGCTCAATGCTGAAGGGCACTAAAGTATAATTAATGTAATAGTAAACAGACTATTTGGCCAGATAAATCAGCAAAACGTAACCCTCACTTTACAAATACATGTACAGGTTTATTTTAACTGTTTGGTTTGGGTTTTTCCACAGCTATTAATATCACTCAGCCGAGGTTCAGTGGCACGGATGCCTTTGGATACACCTCATTCCTGGCTTATTCACGGATCTCAGACATCAGCTTCCATTATGAATTCCACCTGAAGTTTCAGCTGGCAAACAATCACTCAGCACTGCAAAATAACTTGATATTTTTTACTGGACAGAAAGGCCATGGTAAGATTAATTGAACCCTCTAGGACTTGCCTTGCTCCTTTAAGAATACTTTAGAGATTCCTCAGGGAGATTCTAATTGGCTGTGGTTAAAAAAAAAAAAAAAAAAAAAAGGCATTTGCCTAGAGGCAGCCTCCTCCTGTTTTCTGCCTTGAGCATGTTCCCTGTAGTCCCAAGTATTTAGCAGTTCCCTGACCCTTTCTGATGCTCTACTTTACATCAGCTACTGTATTAGTCAGTTTTCATGCTGCTATAAGAACTGCCAGAGACTGGGTAATTTACAAAGGAACGAGGTTTAATTGACTCACTGTTCAGCATGACTGGGGAGGCCTCAGGAAACTTATAATCGTGGTAGAAGGTGAAGAGGAAGCAGAGCACCTTCTTCACGAGGCAGCAGGAAGAAGTGCCTAGCAAAGGGGAGAGTAGCTCCTTATAAAACCATCAGATCTCCTGAGAACTCACTCACTATCAGGAGAACACATGAGGAAAACCACCCCCATGATTCAATTACGTCCACCTGGTCTCTCCCTTGACACCTGGGGATTATGGGGATTACAATTCAAGATGAGGTTTGCATGGGAACACAAAACCTAACCATATCAGCTACCTTTTATAATCAAAAGAAAAAATTCCTACAGGCAAACATGAGGACAGGGAAGGTGACCAAGTCACATGGAAAGTAAGTTTATTGATTTGTCCTTTCCTCTGTTTCTTTCTGTTTCCATATGTGAAGAGAGAAGGGAAATTCTCATTTTTCTGTGTGTTATAAAATGGAAACAGTTGTTGCCCTCAGAGAAAACCATTCTAAATTAAAGGAGCAAGAAGTAAGAAAGTACTCAGCCTATAACAAAGTACTCCAGTGCCCTGGAATTGGTGGGAAATCAACTTATAACTTAAATTTGTCTCTCTTAAGTAGAAACTAGTTACGCATGTGTTAAGTCAAGGAAAATTACCTATGTTTTACTTTTAAGTCTGCAATCAATAGTTAAGCAATTAATCACCTAACTTATCTGAGTTCAGTGTTTTCATCTGTGAGATCAACATATTGTAACAGAAAAAGACCTCTCTCTCAGCTGTCAGTGCTTCTACTGTGCTAGGGTAAATAACATATTCTGTGTTTTTCAACTCAATCAGTGACTGTCTCTTAACACCAAACACTCTTTTCTGTATTAGCACATGTCTGAAAGGAGCCTACACCCCAAATGAAATGTGGTATTTCAGCCTCCCACCATGTCTGCTAGGATGGGTACTCTATCATATAAAGTGCAATTCATTCTACCTCCAAAATTTGTTTGAATCTCTTCCCCATCTCTATGCTGAAACCTTATGACCTCCTCCTGACTGGTCTCCCTACTGATTTCCTGCCTTCAATTAATTCTCCACATTGCAATAAGAGTTAGCCTCTTAAAAGGTTTATTAGATCATGTCTGAACCTTGTTTAAAACCCATCTGTGGCTTTTTACTGCACTTACAATGCAATCCAAACCTTCTTATCATATTCTCAAAGGGCCTTCAGGATCAGATCCCAGCCTGTATCTCTGAACACAACCAGACCACTCTCACTATCTCTGTGCTCTTCTCCTAAGCTCTTCTTCCAGTGCCTTAACCACCAAGTGCTTTCCTGTCTCAGAGGTTTTGTGCATGCTTTTTCCTTGGCCTTGACAGGAAATAGCTATCACAGTGGTCAAGGGAGCAGGCTCTAGAGACTGGTGATGTAGACATGAATCAGTCTTCACCATGTGCAAATTATGTGTCAAGTTACTTAACGTATTTGTGCCTCTGTTTTCTAACCTATCAAATGAGTATAGTAAAAGTACATTTCCTTACAGCGTTGTGAGGAATAATGAACTTAATACACGGAAGTTCTTAAAATATCGTTGGACTCCGCCGGGCGTGGTGGCTCATGCCTGTAATCCCAGCACTTCGGGAGGCCAAGGCGGGCGGATCACCTGAAGTCAGGAGTTTGAGAACAGCCTGACCAACATGGAGAAGAGCCCAACTCTACTAAAAATACAAAATTAGCTGGGCATGGTGGTGCATGCCTGTAATCCTAGCTACTTGGGAGGCTGAGGCACGAGAATTGCTTGAACCCAGGAGGCGGAGGTTCCAGTGAGCCAAGATCGCACCATTGCACTCCAGCCTGGGCAACAAGAGCGAAACTCCATATAAAAAAAAAAAAAGAAAAGAAAAGAAAATGTCATTGTACTCAATAAACACGGTAGTGTGTCTTCTCTCAAAAGGGCATTCTGTAGCCACCTTCACCAAAGTAAATCTTATCCCATCCCGTCCAAGTTATTCTCTACCTCAGCTTCTTATTTACTTCCTTCATTGCCATTACTTTAATCTAGAATTCTTTTATTTATTTTTAAAATAGTTGTTTCTTGTCTGTTTTCACTAACAGAATGGGAGCTTTATACAGAAAGAGATTAAGTCAGCACTGTTCGACTTTTTACACCCATGCTTAACCCAGTGCCTGACCATAATCACTATTTAATGAATGAATAAAACAACCCCAATAAGAACAAATAATTGCATGAGATATAAGTCAGCAACAGAGCTTCACAAAGATTCCTAAAGAGTGATCATTCTTAGGGATTTTCACTTCAAATGCTATGTCCTCTATTAGTATTTCCCCAGTGGTTCCCCTCCCCCCAACTCTTCCATCAGTTCCTCTTCATCTGAGCATGGACAGCCTGTTCTGCATTAGGATATGGAGCCTTTGTTACAGGCTTTGGCTAGCTGCAAAGTTCTAAATTTCTCTTCTCACTCACAGAAATAGTGAGTCATCACTGTATCACCTACAAAGCTTCTCTCCAATGGTTTTAATAAATATCTGTGAATGCGCCCACTATAGGGCAGGAAGGGAAATAAAGAATTCCTACTCCTAACCCTTTACTCTGCACACCGCTTATCATATATTTATCAATTAAATCCTTCTCATTTGGAGAAAAAAAAAAAAAAAGCCTGGCCAATGAAAACTAAATGAGTATTGCAGACCCTAGGTCTGTCTTGTTTCAAAACTGATATTCTAAATCCTGAAAGAGTCAAATAGGGAGAACCTAAGCAAAAGACAAACACCTGGACCATGATACCAAAATACTGCCACCAAAACCCTTCAGTACTCATCTACCAAATTCTCCTTCAAAATCTTTAACACACACATAAAAAATATAAAGCAATGTTTTAGCCACCTCATTTCTAAATTGTGGAATCTTACATGTGACGTTTTCTAGTCTTCTCTAGTATTCTGCTTTGTATGCAAAGGAATTGATGCTAATTCTACACTTGCATTTATAGGTTTATAGCATGGTTAAATAAAGGCTAGGGAACAGATTGATAAACAGTGAAGTTCATTTTCTAAAAGCTGAAAATGAGAGCTCTAAAACATACAGTTCCACATTGCACCACATGAGGGAGCAAGAACACCAGCTAAAAAAATACAAATCGCACTGAAACGCTTTCTCTTTAAATGGATACAATAATTTTACATATTTATGGGGTATAATGTGATGTTTCAATACATGTATATATTGTGTAATGATTTAAGACAGAGTTTCTCCAAATAAGAGCTCTTCACACATATATTAAAATCACAAGAATGTGCTTGTTAAAACTCTAGTTCCCAGGCCTTCTTGAATCAAAAATTAGAATAAAATAAAATAAAATTTTATCAAGAACCTTAGGTGTTTTTTATGCAACTAATATTTGTTTGGTTTTTTTAAGTTTTACTTTAAGTTCTGTAATGCATGTGCAGAACGTGCAGGTTTGTTACATAGGTATATATGTGCTGTGGTAGTTTGCTGCACCTATCAATTCGTCATCTAGGTTTTAAGCCCCACATGCATTAAGTATTTGTCCTAATGCTTTCCCTCCTCTTCCCCGCCTTATGCAAGTAATATTTGAAGGCAACTACTGAAAACCTCCAGTAGACAGCTAAATTAGACCACATGCAAGTATGGACTAAGGTATGTAATTATTGGCCATAATGTCATATATAGGGATGATTCATCAATTTATATAGCATAAAGCTATGAATTAAAGAAATGAATCTCTTAAAACATATCATAATTATTAACCATACAATTTACAATTATCTATTCTATAGAAGAAATGACCCAAGTCAATGTTTGTAATAGTAGTACATATACATTTAGATGTTATTGCTTAGTAACATTCATCTCTAACCTACCTGTTGGTTGTTACTACAAAAATCACCATACCATATGCTGCCTTTATCTTCCTCAGGGGAAGAGATGCACACAGTCACAGAGTTTATAAAATAACTTGAGTAAGCCGACCTCTAATTTCTGATACGTCCATATAAAAGGCAAGGGGACAACACTGATGATAGTCTTCTCTCAGTCTTTCAAAGCTGAACACTCATTTTGCAAAACTTCATTCTCGTTGAACTCTCTGGAAATAACCTGTCAAATACTTCATCTTGAAAACATTCCTTTGACTTATGATTTTTACCTAACCTAATCCTCTTCCTCTGCTCCTGCAGTCATATTTGGCATTTCCTTCATTAGCTTCTCTTCCTTTCCTGCCCTCCACTCTCTTGTAAGGTACATCTTAGAGACCTGCTCTTCTAGAAGTCACCCTATATATCCCACAGTAGTCCACAGATGAATACTTGGCTTCCCCTCCTGTATCCCTTCTGTTGGTAACTGGTATAAACATTCTGCTTCAGCCAGAAACCCAGGAATCATCTCGATTTTTCCCTTTCATTCATTTGGACAAATATTGGTTGGGCACCTAGATAAGGCCTTCTTTAGGTGCTGGGGAAGCAGTTATTAACAAGACAGATGAGGTCCTGGTCTCTCTCCATTTCATCCCCCATGTTCTATGAAACACTGAGGTCTCTCCATTTTCCCTCCCAGTTACTTTTTGTTTTTTTCTCCTTCTTTCTATCCTCATTGCTCCTGGCTTCTCTGTCACAAACTATTGCAATAGCAATAACCTCCTTTCCAGTGTCTTTGCTCAGTCATGTCCTTCTTCCCCTC